TCGGGGGAATTCCCTGTGACATTGACAGTCAGTAGGTCTTGTTCTTCAGCAGAGATAAAATTCACTTAACATATATTAGAAAGCCCTCTTAAGGGCGGGTATTACTCTGCTGTACTCTTCGTATTTGTTGTACCGAGATTTTTTTCCACGTTTACATTGAATTGTGTTTCGCGTCCAGGGTGTTCTGTATGCTTTCAACTCCTTCTTTATACAGTTAGTTTCTTTAAAATATGAGGATAATTTTGGACACATGATTTTACTCAGCGGTCACCTTGGACACCCAATGAGTAGACTGCTGATTGACATTGTGTTCCAGATATGCCTTCGAGTGGAGGCTAAGTGGGAAACGGTAAGTTAGGCGCCTGAGTGTCACACAGAGGAAAATGTGTAAGGAGGAGATGAAGGCTTATGAGCAGTGGACGAGCTGGCTAAAGAGAATTATAGGAGGAACAGGATAAAATGGGAATGTGTTGTTGAAGAGGTCTGTGTTCCACTCACAACTCAAGGGGTTAATAGTGATAATAATAGTAATTTTACGATCCTTTGGAAAGCAGTTTTATTTAAATGAACTGTCCTAGTAGAATACGTTTCCCGTTCTGTGTTGGTATTGGGCTAAATATACTATTGAACATATATGATTGTCCTTAAAAAAGAAGTCAAATCCCAGTCCCTTTGTTTCATCTACAATGGGGGAAGAGAGGATTTTATTTCAGTAGGATAGTCTATTCCTATTATTTCCGTAGTATGCATTTTTAATTTCCACTCAATGTATTTTTTTCTCTTTTGACGAACATTGAAGAGAAACGCGGTGTCGTAAACTCAGATGACAGGTTTAAGTCGGCTTTCCCGCCTGCTGGTGTTACTCTTTAAATCTCTCTCTCTCTCTGTCTACCAGTGTAGAATGATAAAAAGGATTTTCTACAGTGTGTTCATTGGACCTATATGAATAATTGTGTAGAATAATACTTAAATCTATTCTCTTAGCAACATTTATTAGCAAAATGTCAGGGTCTGAAGCTTTAATGATAAGTTCTAGGTTCGGTTAAACGTCACTCAGGTCTATCAGTTGAATTAGTGTGCATCAACACCAATCAAAGTTTGCATCACAGTTCTACATGAGGTCAATGCTGACTCAAAATAGCTCAGAAGTAATAACGTTTTTGACTGCCTTACTGGGTGATATGGGTTCGGATCTCCGAAAGGACATAAGCTCCTTCAGGATTGTTGATACGTCTTGGTGTCTGGTGAGTGCCAATGAAGCACGAAGCTTAAGTCCAAGGTTTCCTGCCGATTGTCTGTAAACATCTGGCAGACTAGGGGTTATGTAGTGAGGTCACCAACTTCACCCTGTACAAAAAAATACTCCATCGCTACTGAAACTTTAAGGCCATAAGCCTGAAACCCTATGTTCCCCTCGGAACGTGAGGAATCCAAAACAAATAATGGTGAAAATTTAAAGGGTATTTTTTGAATACTCAAGTATTTTCTAGGAAGGTCTAAATAATAACAACTTATGTTGATTGGCTGTGATCCTTCAGGCTGTATTTTTAGGTGACTAAGCTTATTCTATCATAATGCGGTGATCGCTGAGTGTATACAGATTCACGTGATATACTTATACCTTATGAACTAAATGAAACTAACCGGTCACTTAAACTAGGATGACTCTGACAACTAGCTGCTTCATCCGTACGCATCCACCGAAATTCAAACCCAGGATCAAACCGGTGAACAATCGAATCCCTGGAAACCAACATTTGAAGACTAGCTATGAAGTTTTCTTGCAGCCAATATAAAATTGCCAAAATAACATAAGCTCCAATGTTTCTTTCTGATAATTACTAACAATAATTAAGAGATGATATGTGTCCACAGAGTCTGCTCTATCACTTTTATCTGACTGATATAATTGTCAGGATAAATAGAGGCCTGAGTTCGTGGCATACAAGTCATTTACCTGACAGTGTTGCAAACGCTGGTCTATGACTAGATTGGATAGACTGTTTCACCACATAAATATTAAGCAGGTTAAATGTTAGGGAGCAATAGTGATGGCTTTAGTGTCAGCCAGTCGTCAACACAGATATCTCAAGATGCGGCATTTAATTCATGGCTCTTAGTTGGTAGGCCTATTTATCTTCAGGTGCATATGTATGCATATATATTGGATGATGTTCTTAAGGTATTCTTGTAATGAGCCACCAAATGTATAATATTAAAAAAAACACATAAAACACTCAGTGGTTCTAATCATATATTTCAGAAAGCCTTGTCTTTCAAGTTATTACTGTTCCCTTAGGTTCCTAGGCCTTCAGTAGTACATCCCTATTTGATCCTGTTTTCGAAGATTCTTCTCAACTGACGACAACCCTAATGATCATAAGCTCTCACCTCCTCCTCACACTGTCTTCTCACTGTCACCATTGGACACCCAACTCGTCATTTCCTATTCGCGTTTCACCCGAGTATCTGCCTGACGCATGATTTAACTCAATGGTGTCCTCAACATGTGTCCACTGCATCTCCATTTTCCCTGGTATATTTGTCGGTCAATAGGTTCTTGCCTGGCTCGTTACCAGAATCCCTTGTTACTAATCCATTCTGATCGAATAATCTTCAGTATGGAGTCAGCGAAATGGCCAGCTGTTGATAAAAGTCTGGTGATGCGTACGTAGCTCTGCAATTTAATCAGCTCGCACTTTGCTTTCCATGAATTCAGCTTGTTCAGGGCGGATATTTGCATCTAGAGCATGTTTAAGTCTCTTCGGGACTACTTAACTAAATATTTTGCTGGTTGGTTGTCAGAGTTCCCTGGTGCCACATTGGGCTTAGTAATGGTGGATAATTTGCTTTAATTTATCCATATTCTATTCACTCAGACTGCAGTCTATTGAGGGTAACATTGTACTCTTTTTTACAAGGAGTTCAGTGTAATATCTAAGTTTCCGTTGTTACATAAACATTAATTCTGGGATAGAAGTTTTCGATCCTTTTATGGAGGCTGTCTGACAAAATCTTCAGATTTATTGAAAGTCTACGGAATAGTTACTTGTTCGTCGTCAGAAGATGTGCTGATATTTCATGTTATCCTATTATAAAAATTTTCAATGCTTCTTTTGCCAGTAGTGTTGTACCTATAGCATAGAAAGATTTTACAAATATCGCGGTACACAAATCATGTCCTGGTATGAATGTTAAATTCATGCCTATTGTAATTACCTCTCTCGTTGTCCCTCCTTGACTATATATATGAATACATGCTTTTGATTATATGCCTAGATGCCTTTTACTGGACAAGCTTTCCGAGACATAAACCCAGTCCTGACCTGTTAACCAGTTGAATTCTTGTTTCTCTAACAGAACGCAGTATACTGTATGTAAAGACAAGTCTTCGTCTGGCTTTCCCACTGAGGCAGGAGTGCCTCAAGGTACTATTCTATCTCCATCTCTATTTTCTTTCTTTTTGTATGACTAACCTATTTCTGATCAAATCAACTTCCTTAAATACCCCCTGATGATCTGACTGTCCGAAACTTAGTGGCTTTTTCTCTGGTCTAGGCTGAATAGTCTTACCATAAATCCCTCCACACGTCAGACAGCTGACTTCATCTTTAGGCATAAACCTGATCTACAAGGATCGCTTCTCTCACAGGAATTCTTGTATCACAAAGAGCACTGAAACAGAAACTAAGTCAAGAATAAATTACCTCGGAATACCTCTATCCTCTGGCATATTTCCATCATACAATATCTTGTCGACTTCAAAGAAAATGTTCCGCCTAACCTTCTGTATTAAGAAATTGAGACAGTCACAAATCCTTAAACCTCTAATTTTACAAATTCTCAAATCCTGTATGTTAAATAATCTATTTTAATGCCCAACCTTAGTCTTCCTTGATACACTCAGTAAAAGACAATGTCATATAACAGAGGGTAATGATGTTTGTCAGTAGGGCGAGTAGTGTTCCACTAAGTCAGCTCGTTATTACTATAGTCGACAGACACATGAACTTATATGAGAAATGGTCTGAATCCATATTGTCTGACTCTCAACACGCTCTTTATTCTCAACTCTCCCTCACGTTGAATCTCCTCAGTCGGGACTAGAAGTCATTATAAATGATTTTATGTTAGCACAACAACAGTGTTCCTTGAAATGTGCATGATACCGGACGGATATTGGAACCGAGGGAAGTAGAGTAATATGGGAACTCCACTCTGTTACACTCCAATCCAACTATCCCTTGTACTCACTCATAAACCCATCAGATGTATACAACTGACTTTACACACGAGTGGTAGTCTGAGTAAATGGAAAAGTGAAAACACTTATTTCTATATTTGTATCCTATAGGATTTGATCTAAAATTCCAGAGAGAAGTTTCGATTGGATTTCCATCAAGACTACATCATGGTTCACTGTTCACCTCGACAGACAAATATGAACTGGTAGTTCCCTTGTAGACATACACTGGTCAAAACAGCAACTGAGTGGTTTACAGAGCCTAGTGGATGCTATTATTTATTGGGAGAAAGAAGTTCTGTACAAGACAGTAGAAAGAGTAGACACTTTCGAGCTACATATCCACTGAGATGAATTACTGTCATGAAAGTGATAACACATTATTAAATGGTAACTTGTTTGGGTATTTTGTGGCTTAAACCTTAATGAAAAGAAAACACTTAGTTCGGTGAAGAGGCTGTTTTCGGGGAATTCATTTTCCTCACCAACTGTACAGTCAGTGACATTTCTGCATAATTTTTTCATGCAGGAAGAAATTAATAAAAGTGAGCAGTATTCACAAGTCTAGTTGTTAGTGTTAATCATTCAAATAAACTAAGTGAATAAATGTGTAATAAGATGACTAATTTAATGTGTGAGTTGTAATCAGAATGCAAATCGAAACGAAGAAAAATATGGAAATATCTAGGAGACATAAAAAGCGAAATACAAGAATGATAGGAAGTTGGGTGAGTAGAAATCAACAAGATTGTTATCTTGATAGTAGATATGGTTGAATGATTTTGTTTTGAATGCAAAGCTAGTGTAACTGTTGTTTGTTTATAACACTATTACATCATTCGATATTTCCTTCGTTTCGATGTGAATGGTGATCACAACTCACATGCATTAAATTAGTCATCTTTTTACGTAGCTGTAATTAGCCATCGTTACATGAATGTATAAACCCGACTACTTTGCCCCCCTCCCCGTAAACCTTTAAAAATTGTAAAAATTATAAGTGTCTTAATTTTTTTTAACTTTTCTGACTACTTCATCTTTAATTAAATGTTATCCTTGTAAAATTATTTTATTCTTATGACCACTTCCGCCTTAGTTACAAATTATAATTTTCCAAATCGTTTTATTTTCTTTGACAATCTATCACGTAATCAACCTGTGAACACGCTTATTACCTAATTACTCTTCATTTTTCGAAAAACTATGCATTATGCAATCCACATGTTTTAACCATTTCTACCTTTTAATTGTGTGTATTAATTTTCTTCGTGAATTATCACCCCATTGACATTTTGACACTGACTTATTATTGGTAACAGGCATACCAGTGCCACTTGATTGGCAAATTGTTGTGTATGGTAATAAAAATGCTATGAATATGTTAGAGTAGAGCGAGAGATGAGGATCTAATTGAAAAGTAAATATTTCTTCGCTGAATCTTTCTGGTAACTGTAATCCACTTGTTCAGCTGCTCACATGCACTGACTAATACTAATTAGCGACTGCGATTATGACAAATAGTCATCATTGCATATAAATACGATTGTACAACTAAGGGGAAAGGGGAATTCCTCTAAAAGAGCCTCTTCGATGAACTACTTGTCCTGTGTTTTATTAATGTTTGAGGTGTGTTGAGGGGTGGGATTTGAGTGAAGAGGAAATTTCCCATGACTTAATCCTTAGTTATGGTATTTTGTTTTCATTGTTTCTCCATTATGTTAGTTACAATGCCGATTGTCGTTGGAATGTTAACACGACAATACTGTAATGTTGGAAAAGTGCAGACTTTTAATAGAGCAAAACAATAAGCGCGATTGTGAAACATTTATTTGCTCCCTGTTCTTCTTTATTGCTCCCCTTTAGTCTTCCTTGATACACTCAGTAAAAGACAATGTCATATAACAGAGGGTAATAATGTTTGTCAGTAGGGCGAGTAGTGTTCCACTAAGTCAGCTCGTTATTACTATAGTCGACAGACACATGAACTTATATGAGAAATGGTCTGAATCCATATTGTCTGACTCTCAACACGCTCTTTATTCTCAACTCTCCCTCACGTTGAATCTCCCCAGTCAGGAGGTACCCAAATCATGTCCTGGTATGAATGTTAAATTCATACCTATTGTAATTACCTCTCTCGTTGTCCCTCCTTGACTATATATATGAATACATGCTTTTGACTATATGCCTATATGCCTTTTACTGGACAAGCTTTCCGAGACATAAACCCAGTCCTGACCTGTTAACCAGTTGAATTCTTGTTTCTCTAACAGAACGCAGTATACTGATTGTTATTCCGGTGATTCATTTACAAACATATCTAAATTCCCTCTCAATTTTCATTCATACACATGCCATTACCTTCTGCAGAGTCACCGTCACAACTAGAAAGTTCAAATGCGCCAGCAAATTCCTCTAATTTATGCATGATAGTTGATATGCCATCTTCAAAAGGCGCTACCAAACCATCTTCATCCAACATTCCACCTACGTTTAATATAGCTAACATTCTATCACCTGAAACTCAGACAGAAACATCAAGAAGTAGACAGAATGGAGACGATACTGAAATCAACCAACCAATTTTAAATAATCGTAAGTCATCAGATCTTGTTTCAATGTGAACATTTACATGCACATTGTTCATTAGTTTTCTCTTATTCAGTCAAGTAATCACAGTGTTAGTGTAATGTAAATCCATGCGTTAAATTGGCCTCAGTATTTATCCGGTAGTCGTTATTTTGACTGTCGATAATAATATCCAATGAGTAATTTTTATGTGTAGGATGCTCCAAATCTCAAACTGCTCAGTTTCCGACTCATTTTGGTTAATTCCCAACGGCTGATGAAACTCCCGTCTAATGTGGATAATCTAGGCGTATTCGTAAAATCTATTAGAATATTAGATGCGTGGTACTGGCCTGGTAATAATGCTTTAATAAACTGAAGGAGAAAGTAACGGAGAATATCAATATTGGTATTTCCTGATGAATTGTTTTCGCTTATGTCTGGTTTCTTTTTTCAATGCTAATTTATATCCCGCAGGTAATCTGAACATGGTCTAGACATCTAGAGACTTCTAGATTACTGATAACTTATAGTTCATCCCACCGGCGTTTGATTTTATGCCTGCTTCTTTAATACACTAAGGGACATTTACGCTGAAAGCGTTCAACCTGTTATCTCTCTCCGTGCATTATTTAGCCCTAGTACTTTTGTATTTCTAAGAGAAATCGAGTCTGTCTCACTTTCTATGCAAGTACTTGCCTCTTATTGCAATCACTGATTCACAGGATGTATAGATGCGTCTGCCAGATCACTTTTGTATGTCACATACACACACACACTATACCTTTGTCAGTATGATTTGCTGTTTTGTGGTTAAATCTATATATCGTAAAATCAAAACATGCAAGATAATTCATCATCTAATATGAAATGTACTTTGTCTCACTGTATTTTACAATTCAATAGGAAATTTGAGGTAAATACTTTGATTGATAGTTTGTTAATGTCTGCATGGAGTGACTCTGATATGACCTCTAGAGACAACTAATAACATCGGAAGTGATTACTACAGAGTCGATCGAAGTTTTTGTAATAGAATACAATAAGTTCAGTATTTAGATCATATGGAGGTTGACTGTGAGGTATACATTTCTGAGAGTTACGCGAATAATTAAATAGTAGACATTGGATAAGTTTAAAAATCTTATTTCTGTAGACGAAAAGAAGTTGGTCTATTGCTGTGAGTTTCATCATATTCAGCAGCGACGTTCATTGTTTCTTTCCTGAGTTGATCTAGTTGTTTAGAATACTTCTGAGTATTTTATCTGTTAAGTGGAATTATGATAATAATAACATTAGGTTGACTGATTCTTGTCTCTACTATTATTATTATTATTTTATTATTGCTTTTATCATTTCCTTGGGTTCCGAATGGAACACAGGGCTCGAACAGCACATCTTCGAATTGTTCTATTTTCTGTTGTCCTCTCTAGCTGACTGGCTCCACGATTGTCCATAGTCTCTGATCTCCTCCATGTCACCTTCGGACGAGCCACTTACCGCTTCCAATTTGGGTTCCACTCGAGCAACGCCATGGTGCGCGATGTCATTCGATGGTCACATCAGCCAGCGTTGGCCTAATCCATCTCCATTTTCTCCCATGTATTTGTTGAGCAATAGGTTCTTGGTTGGTTGGTCGGTTGGTTTGCTCCCACAGTTTCTTGTTGCTAATTCTTTCTGGCTGGCCAGTTATTTGATCTTCAGTATGGAGCCAGTGAAGGGGAACAGCTGTTGACTTCTAGTTTAACAGAGAAAAGACTGTTTTTAAAACACATAAAAAACTATCTGCGACAGGATTAATATCATGGATTAACTTTTACTGCATAATTCAGCTTCGTAGGCATATTTAAAGGAATTCTCACTAAGAGAATTTCCACCTTCGTAAATTTCCCTTTTATTACACTTTCTCACAACAGCTGACAAACATCTCGAAGAGGAATTGTTATCTTCTCTAGTTATTTCATGGATGGTAAAAAGAACCGGCATAATTTCATGATGATATGAATCCCATGGGAAAAAATATTCGGGGCATATTAAACCTATAGTTGATGAAGGGAATTGTGGGAAATATGAATATTAGTTCAGTCTATCTACCATGTCTTCGAAGAATTAGCCTAGTCAGACAAGCTAGTCTACACTGAGCAGTCAATATGTTACAGACCAATGCTCACATTTACTCTTAATATCCGAATCACTAATAAGCAGTCGAAATTAACAGTGAATAGTAGTCACACTAATTGATTTGGTCACCCTTCAATTTACTATGTAATTGTCATAAAATAATGCTCAAGACCAGGCTGAAGGTGAAGAGTTATTGAAGCAGGATAAATTAGATTTTATGTGAATTCAAGTGAACGCTGTAAGCTGATGTAATAAATAGGAAAATGTGGAAAAAATGAGCTTATGTCGAAGAAATTGATTAGAGAGTTGTTTGAAATCCTACGAATGTTTTTGAATGCTAATTAGTGTAAGAAGAGCCCATCCCGAAAATTGAGGGAAAATACCTGAAAATAATTGCGTATGTATGGGAGTGAAACTGAAACAAGTCGACTTAAACTATTCAGCGGTAAACACTTGCTGTTATGATAAAAACTGAGGAAACCTTCAATCAAAGTCAACTATGTTTTCGGGGGAATTCCCTGTGACATTGACAGTCAGTAGGTCTTGTTCTTCAGCAGAGATAAAATTCACTTAACATATATTAGAAAGCCCTCTTAAGGGCGGGTATTACTCTGCTGTACTCTTCGTATTTGTTGTACCGAGATTTTTTTCCACGTTTACATTGAATTGTGTTTCGCGTCCAGGGTGTTCTGTATGCTTTCAACTCCTTCTTTATACAGTTAGTTTCTTTAAAATATGAGGATAATTTTGGACACATGATTTTACTCAGCGGTCACCTTGGACACCCAATGAGTAGACTGCTGATTGACATTGTGTTCCAGATATGCCTTCGAGTGGAGGCTAAGTGGGAAACGGTAAGTTAGGCGCCTGAGTGTCACACAGAGGAAAATGTGTAAGGAGGAGATGAAGGCTTATGAGCAGTGGACGAGCTGGCTAAAGAGAATTATAGGAGGAACAGGATAAAATGGGAATGTGTTGTTGAAGAGGTCTGTGTTCCACTCACAACTCAAGGGGTTAATAGTGATAATAATAGTAATTTTACGATCCTTTGGAAAGCAGTTTTATTTAAATGAACTGTCCTAGTAGAATACGTTTCCCGTTCTGTGTTGGTATTGGGCTAAATATACTATTGAACATATATGATTGTCCTTAAAAAAGAAGTCAAATCCCAGTCCCTTTGTTTCATCTACAATGGGGGAAGAGAGGATTTTATTTCAGTAGGATAGTCTATTCCTATTATTTCCGTAGTATGCATTTTTAATTTCCACTCAATGTATTTTTTTCTCTTTTGACGAACATTGAAGAGAAACGCGGTGTCGTAAACTCAGATGACAGGTTTAAGTCGGCTTTCCCGCCTGCTGGTGTTACTCTTTAAATCTCTCTCTCTCTGTCTACCAGTGTAGAATGATAAAAAGGATTTTCTACAGTGTGTTCATTGGACCTATATGAATAATTGTGTAGAATAATACTTAAATCTATTCTCTTAGCAACATTTATTAGCAAAATGTCAGGGTCTGAAGCTTTAATGATAAGTTCTAGGTTCGGTTAAACGTCACTCAGGTCTATCAGTTGAATTAGTGTGCATCAACACCAATCAAAGTTTGCATCACAGTTCTACATGAGGTCAATGCTGACTCAAAATAGCTCAGAAGTAATAACGTTTTTGACTGCCTTACTGGGTGATATGGGTTCGGATCTCCGAAAGGACATAAGCTCCTTGAGGATTGTTGATACGTCTTGGTGTCTGGTGAGTGCCAATGAAGCACGAAGCTTAAGTCCAAGGTTTCCTGCCGATTGTCTGTAAACATCTGGCAGACTAGGGGTTATGTAGTGAGGTCAGCAACTTCACCCTGTACAAAAAAATACTCCATCGCTACTGAAACTTTAAGGCCATAAGCCTGAAACCCTATGTTCCCCTCGGAACGTGAGGAATCCAAAACAAATAATGGTGAAAATTTAAAGGGTATTTTTTGAATACTCAAGTATTTTCTAGGAAGGTCTAAATAATAACAACTTATGTTGATTGGCTGTGATCCTTCAGGCTGTATTTTTAGGTGACTAAGCTTATTCTATCATAATGCGGTGATCGCTGAGTGTATACAGATTCACGTGATATACTTATACCTTATGAACTAAATGAAACTAACCGGTCACTTAAACTAGGATGACTCTGACAACTAGCTGCTTCATCCGTACGCATCCACCGAAATTCAAACCCAGGATCAAACCGGTGAACAATCGAATCCCTGGAAACCAACATTTGAAGACTAGCTATGAAGTTTTCTTGCAGCCAATATAAAATTGCCAAAATAACATAAGCTCCAATGTTTCTTTCTGATAATTACTAACAATAATTAAGAGATGATATGTGTCCACAGAGTCTGCTCTATCACTTTTATTTGACTGATATAATTGTCAGGATAAATAGAGGCCTGAGTTCGTGGCATACAAGTCATTTACCTGACAGTGTTGCAAACGCTGGTCTATGACTAGATTGGATAGACTGTTTCACCACATAAATATTAAGCAGGTTAAATGTTAGGGAGCAATAGTGATGGCTTTAGTGTCAGCCAGTCGTCAACACAGATATCTCAAGATGCGGCATTTAATTCATGGCTCTTAGTTGGTAGGCCTATTTATCTTCAGGTGCATATGTATGCATATATATTGGATGATGTTCTTAAGGTATTCTTGTAATGAGCCACCAAATGTATAATATTAAAAAAAACACATAAAACACTCAGTGGTTCTAATCATATATTTCAGAAAGCCTTGTCTTTCAAGTTATTACTGTTCCCTTAGGTTCCTAGGCCTTCAGTAGTACATCCCTATTTGATCCTGTTTTCGAAGATTCTTCTCAACTGACGACAACCCTAATGATCATAAGCTCTCACCTCCTCCTCACA